TTTAAAAAAATTATTTTAAATGTCTCTAGGGACTGGGTAATACAGTAGGGAATACCATGCTTTGTTCAATATCCCATCCTTCTGACTGCAATCCATTTTTATGTAAGGTAAGTAGACACCCTGTGGACTTTCTGGGAAGTTGAAGATCAGAAGGTTTGATAGAGTTGACGGACTAGGAGATAGACACTACTTTATTGCCATTGCAAAAGAAAAAAACCACAACCCCCTTCCTTAAGTGATTTTCAAGTAGGAAGCAGACAAGAGTTAATGTTTTTGACAGAAAAGGTAGACTCCCTTGTTTAAACAAGTTGTCTCCACGCAGTCTGAAATACAGTGTGGAGGAAGAAAAATTACTTTTGAACAAGATTACACACTTTTAGTCAAGAAAGCATTTCCTATGTTATGAACATAGAATTTTCTTGCCTTGTTGACCTGAAATTTCCATGCTAAGGTGTGACCCAGTGGTCAGAGACACATGGTTTGATTCATCTGAACTGTTTTACAAACACTAGCTATGTGAGGAGCAGTGTGCTTTGGTGCATTGAGACGTTTGTCATCCAGTTCCTCTGCTGAGGGAAAATAGGAGATAGGCGCACTCCCTCACCTGCATCCACCTTGCCTGGACTTAGGGACCATGTCTGCCCGGGAGGTTACAGTCTGACCAGGTGGCTGCAGAACCCCAATAAATACATAGCTGTGCCAGCTATGGTGCGGACAGGGAGTGGAAGATGCCCCATCCTTTAAAGTGTTGAAGGGCAGGCTGGATGGGTCTTGAAGCAGTCTAGTCTAGTGAAAGGTGTTTTGGCCAATGGCAGGGGGATTGTAACTAGATGATCTTTGAGTTCCTTTCCATCCAAGCCTCATTTCCACAGCTGAGCTGTGGTCCTTGGGATGTCCATCTGCTCAGAGACCCCCTCAGGGTATTCAAAGAGAGCACGTGGTTCTGTTGTGCTGCCCAATATGGTGTTCTGCAGTGGACACAGCTTATGCTGGGCAGCCTCAGTCTGGTAAAACTGCACTTCTGCACGTGTACCAGCATTGGGTCTTGGAGCTAACAGCCCATGCTCAGCTCATATAATAGCACCCTGAGTCTGGTAGAAACAGAACTAGGCAGGGCTTGGAACTAGCACTTACGAAAAGAAGGATACTGGGCTTCACTGAGTAGGCTACTCATAGAAAGCTTAAATTAAAATTTAAATTTTAAATTTTCTTTCCATAGATTAAATTTTCCATCCAGAGGAGTCCCCATTTCTTCTTTTTATTCATGATCTCTGTTAAATGTGGCAGTTTTCTCTTCACTGCATGTATGCCCGAGTTGAGCTTTGCATTTTCACAAACAACAGCACTGGTGTGCTGACAGTGCTTTCTACTTCACATGCCGCAGTCTCACGCCCCCCTCCTCAGGCTTGTGGTTCAGGGAGGGATTCAGCCCACAGAACTACCACTGGTTTCCTCAGTGCTTGAAATGCTAGCCAAGGACCCCAGACCTGCAGTCTCAAGAGCTGATCTTCACTAATCAGTGAAGGAGACAGATATCTGTGGGATTGTGGGACAAACTCGGGGGCAATTGCTTCATTTAGAAAAGCAGAGTTGTTGAATTGTTGCTGTAACCTTTATGAGGCCATGAGTGATGTATGGGTTATTTGTCAGATTGCCTTTTTAGCTTCATCAAAATGATCCAGAGTCAATTTTACCTGTTGCAGTCTGTTGCAAAGGGCAAATGTGCTTATTTTTGTTTCCCCAGTCTAATGTTAAGTCTTTAATTGAATTTCGTTTACATGTAATCACGCTTGAAATACATTTATTGTCCTTGACCAAAACTAGTTTCTTCAATGATCTCTGTATTCATATTTTCATTGAAGGAAATACATGTGATGGGTTGGCTTTGCATCATATGTGTTGGGCCCTCCATCACCTAAGAAGTCTGTGACTTTCTCAGTTCTTTGAACTTTCAGAGAAAGGCAAAGGAGTTTGAGATCAGAGTGAGTTATCTTGTGATCCAAATTGCTGGTTTGCTTTGCTTCTTTTCTCTAAACAGTTGCTCACAGGAAATGAGTTAATCAGAAAACTGCCCCTGCAAAACAAGTCAAAGTTGAAGAACTAGCATTTCAGCGTCAGTAAGCTGCGTGTTTCATGTGAATCCTGAGGTCCTACTGCTCTACACTTTTTCCTGTGTGATCCAAACCGAGAACAATTATTGGGAACAACAGATTACCATTAGCTGATATGGATAGTTCAACTACTAATCTCCTTGCTTTGTGCATACCTTGCACAAGTGAAAAGGAGTGAAAACAGGGTGCGTGTGGGGAACATGAGAAACAGCATTGTGTAGGAAGTGCATAGCTGTTCCAGAGTACAGCACATGAGAAAAAATTTCTTTCCAGGTGGCATGGATCATTTGTAAGTGGCAGGAACACATCCTCTGCAGGGTATCTGGTCAATTAAGAAGTGAGGAAGACTGTGTTTCACTTGGTGCATACCACATAGATAACACTTTAGCTGTAATGCAGGGACCGCATTATCCACTTCTGCTACCTCCAGCAGCTGGTTCTGGAAAGGTTCCAATGCCACTCTTAGCTCTTGCAACCCTCTGGCAAGTCACAGAAAGGTCTAGACAGAAAAGCAGGTATCCATCTCCTCACTTTGTGTCTCGATACTGCAGCTACCCTGATTGATTTACTGAGAATTTACTGGTAAAAACAAGACTTTTCTGGCCTAACATAATTATATACAAGGGCTGTCTCTGTGGCCAGTTAAAGCCACAGAAATTTATTTCAGCAACAAGTTTCTGTTTTTAAGCAGGAATAGGTGATCCTTTTTCACATTGAAAACAGACTGTTCTGGACAGAGAATTGTCTTCTGGCTGAGTCTAGAGGTGAAGCGTATTTGTCATGGCAGTGAGCCCAGCCCTGTTTTTTCCTGGATAGAAGGATTTGGGGACATAACCACCTTTTGGGGCAGAAATGGTCACAGCTGTGAAAAAATTAGCAGCCTACAAACATTGGTAATAAAATCTGCTGTGCCAGATCATTTTTACTCTTGCTTCTATTCCTCTATAGCTGTTGGACTCCCTGTGTTTCCAGTGACAAAGCTTACTTTGGCTTTTCTATATCTTGAGGCTAGGAAAGTAGAGACCCAATGGTTTTTACTGCTCATCCTGCACCTGGCATGCAGAAGACTCAATTAAATTTCTTTTTCTACCTATAGGACTTTGGGGATGTCATTTTACTTTTCTGTGCCTCAGACTTCTGCACTCCCAGGAATGACAGCGGCCCCATGGCAAAGTTAGAAGAGGTTGTGGAATAGTAGTAATAAGGTTCTGGGGTAAGCTGGTTGTTCAGGAAAGCAGATGTCTTAAGGGAACTGTGCTGCTAAGCTCTCTTGCAGCTGCTGGGCCTTTTGCCGGAATTCAACACGACCAGAGAGAAAAGGCCGTGCCTCCCTTTGCTGGCCGCAGACCCTCTCTGTGGAACGCCCACATATTTTGTTACCAGGCGAGACGCCAAATAGCCTTTCCCATTCCTTGGCAGTGTGCAGCAGGGGCAGTCCCCTCTTTCAGCGAGCCCTTGTCTGTTGAGCTGCTTTTGCTAAACAATGTGTTTTGCAGAGTTAACAAAGCTGTGGATCTGATCTCGGCACTGACACCCAGGGTCCTTTCTGTGACACTGCTGCTCCAGGGCAAGGCAAAGAAGACAAAAAAATCTCAGCACCTTGTGTTTCCCAGAAGGCCAAGAGAGGAGCAAAGGTGATGTTCTGGGAGCCTGAGGGCTGACAGAGATAGGGGCATGGGTGTCACGCTTGTGTCTGGGTTAATTGGTACAATGGGCTCACAAGAGGTTGAGGTTGAGAGCTCCCACCAGAGCCCTCTGCCAGCTCACAGCCCTGAAACCGGCTCCGGGAGCCAGCGAGGGATTTGCCGCCCGCGTCCCAGAGCTCCCCAGTGGCTCTCTGCCTTCACGTCCCCCCGGAGACGATTTCGCCCGCAGCTCCAGTGAAATCCACCTTCTCCCTCCCGTCACTCCCTCTCTCGCCCTGGCGGTTTCCTGGCGCCACCTTGAGGGCGCCAGGGCTTGACCTGGCTGTGCTCACCCGAAGGCTGTGATAAGCAGATACAAACACATTGCTGCATGATTCCAATGTCCATCTTTTGCCTACAGCATCAGTTTGCTTGCAGAGTCTTGACAAGATTATAAAATCACAAGGAGATAAGAGCATGAAAAAGTTCTGCTTTGGTAGTACCTGAAAGGTTTGGGGGGTTGTGAGGATTACTCACCCAAAGGGACCCACAGAAAGTGCTGAAATAGTAAAAATAGTAAAAAGTAGTTTTGAAGGATAAATTGAGGAATTGGCAGCAACCCCCCTCTCTGCTACCCTCCACGGGTGTTTGTTTTTGTCAGGCTGGCTCCCCCAGCACCAGTCCCAGACAGATCCTGTTTCACAAAATCCATCCTCACCACTGAAGGCATGCAGGGGAAGGGGTCAGATGTAAACCCAGTGTAGGCATGTACCTTTCAGAGGGGCTCCTGAGGAGAGAAAGGGGAGGGAGAAGAGACTCTCCTGTCTCCTGAGATTCCCTTCCCTCCTTCAGCAGCCCTATTCCAATCAGGAAGCACAGGGAGCCAGGGAGCACACAGCACTCGAACCTTGCAGGAGCCCAGCTCTGCCTGCCCATTCTGGGGGTGGAGGAAGATGAAACAATTTAGGCAGGGCTTGAGCTGAAATGGCATTTTGCTGCTTCTGATTTCCTCGCAGCTTTTGCAGTGGGGCAAGAATTCCATCCCTCCAAGACACCTTTTGAATGCATGAGTGCCTGGGTGGCACTTCGAGGTCACTCAAGTGGCTGCTGCAGTTTGAAACAGGAGCTCTTGTTTCATTTACGGGTTGCTTAACCCCCTCCCAATGGCAATAAAGCAGGTGAATAAGGATGCAAAAAGATTAACCTGGGGACCAAAAGCTTGGAAAAGGATGAAAGAAGCACTCTGATTACAAAAAAAAGATTTATTTTTGACAGCAAATAAACACCCCCCTGCCCCCCAAATTTGCAGGCCGATGGTGCTGTTTCAGTGTGATGAGGTGCTGGGCCCCTTGGGGAGAGAAACCAGAAACCCACAGACAGCAGGAGAAGGCTCCTGTCCACCCTCTCCCACTATCCGCAGTTCCCAGGCCTGCCGCTGGGTGTGCTCAGAGCCCAAACCTCCCAGTCCATCCTCGGTTTTGGAGGAGAGCAGGATGGCAGGATGCCAGCCACCTCCTCCAGCTAACCACGGGAGATCAACCTCCTCAGTTGATTCTGCAAGAGCAGAATGCTCATGTGCCCGCTGCCATCTTCCGAAACCCGTTCTGCCACCCATGCCATGAAGCTGGGTACCCACCTCAAGAGTCCCACTGCTGGAAGAGAAGCTGATCCCAGATGATGTTCTTGTCTGTCTTGAAGGGTCATGGCCAGGGTAGCACTGGCAGTGGATCCACTCCACAGTCCCAGCACTTCCCAGTCTGGTCCAGGCACGTGGTAGAATCTTCCTTTAAAAAACAAATAACAATTGCATTAAAGTAAATTAAAACCAAGAGTCGCAAACAAGAATAACATTAAATGTTATCAATGTATCACAGGCCTGGGGAAGGTTTGACTACTCCATGCAAGGAATAAAGCTCCCCATAGGCAGGGAAAAACCCCGACTTTCCCAGCCTCAGCCCCAGCCTTTCCTCAAGGGCCTGCAAACGAAAACGGCCGGCACATGGGTGTGGAACTCTGTCCTCTGCCACCTTGCCATGTTTTTGTCGGGCTGGCTTCCCCAGCCTGGGCCAGGGTGGCTAGCAGAGGCTGTCACCAAGGCCAGGAGCCAGCATGGTTCCCATTCCTTAACATCCACCCTCTCCCCCACCAAAAAGCTACTTGGCAGCCAGCTGAAAAATTAATCCCACTCTCCTCAACCCCAGCAAAGCAGGGAACCTCTGGTGCCCAGCCAGGCTAAACCCTCAATGCCTGGGACCAGGAGCATCCCCCCAGCCCCCACCGGGTCTTTTTCATCTTTCATCTTTTTTCATCTGGGTGCAGAGAGTGTCCTCAAGGAAGGTGCTGCAAACAAAGCCAATCAGCTTCGCCCCAGTGGTGCCTATATCCCATGATGACATTCTCCAGCTTGATGTCATGTTCCAGGACACCACAGTTGTGCCCCAGTTTGCAGGAGGACCACGATGCCACTAAGCTGCAGGGGGGATGTTTCCCCTTTTCCAGTGTGTGGGAACTTCACCAGACTGCCAAGACTTCTCAAATATGATGGAGAGCGCTCAGCCACTTCCTCCACAATTTCCCCCAGCACCAGCAGAAGCATCTCATCAGCTATGCTCCCTACTCTGCTACAGTCACAGGGAAACCGTCTGCTTTTCTTGGCTTCTTAATACCATGAGACGTGTGGATGGGAAGAAAAGCTGGCCCTTGACAGTGTCCTCATCACTGTAGAAAGGAAGGTCCCTGCAGACCACCTCATAGAGCCGGATGCCCAGGGACCCGATTGTTGCTGAATGGCCACGGTAGCAGTGGAAGAGGATCCACTCTGGTGGGCTGTACTCTGGTGTTCCTATGGGACACAAGCGGAGCTCATCAGGTGGATGCTGCCCACTCCCAGCCCAGGCGATGCCCCGCTGGCCCCCTGCCCGGCTCCACCGCTGCTGGACATTCCCCGGCTCGGGATGCTCCGCGGCTCCCGCTGATCCCTCGCCCGCTCCCCCAGCAGCGTCCCGGCTTCCACCCTCCTGGGCCTCGCTGCATCCCCGCCCGGCGCGCCCCGGCTTCTTCCTCTGGCCCCACTCATTCACCAGCCTGACCCACTCCCAGATGCGATCCCGAGACACGCGTTTGATGGCCACCTGCAAGCCAAGGAGCGCCGAGCTGAGCTCGCCACCCGCCGCCCTCCTCCGACTCCTCCCCGCCTCTCACCGGGGCGCCGTCCGCGAGGCGTGTCCCCGAGTAAATGCTGCCGCAGCCGCCGCTCCCCAGCAGCGGGCCCTCCCGGTAAAGCTGCTCCAGGGGATGCTTCTCTGCGTTCCGCCCGAGGGCCCCAACCTCCCCGGGCTCTGCTTCCCGATCTGCTGCACCGGACACGGGCGGCTCGGGCCCGGCGGCCGAGCTGCCGAGCGGCGGAGCTCGGGCCGGGGAGCCCGCAAAGGAGGCGGCGGGAGCTGGGCACCAACGGGGCTGGCCGGGAGCAGCGACGGAGCGACCCCGGGCGGGGCCCCGGGAACAGCTCCGGGAGGAGCCGCAGCCGGGGCCGGGCCAGGACCCGGGCCAGGCGGAGCCAAAAGACGGTGCTGCTGCGGCGGCCCGCCCAGCAGCGCCACAGCCCGTAGGGCGAGAGCCCGGCGGAGGCGAGAGTGCGGCGGGCCGGGCACGGGCGGCGAGGGGGCGGCCCCGGCGAGGGGCGGCGGGACGAGCCGGGCCGAGAGAGGGCGGGAAAGGCGGAGAGAGGGAGCGGAGGGGAAGGGAAGGGAGAGAGTGCGAGACCGAGAGGGAGAGCGAGCACGAGCGGAAAACCGATCGGGAGAGTCGCTGCTGCTGCTGCGCAGCCGCCGGAGCGCGCGGCCGCTTGTCCGGTTCCCCCCGCGAGCCCGACGGAGGAGCCGCCGCTCCGCGCGCGAGGCTGGTTTGGAAATAAGCAATAAATCAACAGTCTGTAGAACATCTATAAGATAATAAATAATAAATAAATAAATCAAAGTGTTGCTTTGTGGGTTTCTTTCTTCATTGGGTGAGATGAAGCATTTCATTGGGAAGAATTCCCTGACAGCTGCGGGAGAGTTTACATGAATGGAATGTTCGATTTTGAAGTAGAAAATGTAAATCGTGTCACTAATATAATCTCTTTTCATCCTCTGTTTAGACAGTTGTCATAGGTTATCTTGTTTTAAAGGAAAAAAAAACCCTGCTTGGAATGTTTTCCCTTTACCACTGTGAAAGAAAGGTGTTGAACGAGGGAGGGGGGAGGAGATGACCAGAGTGAGACACATACACAGAGGGACTGGCTGACAGTCCCACATTCCAAGCTAAGACTGTAGGGGGAGGTGAAGTTTTTTTCCTTCGGGAGACAGCACTTTACTTTTGCTCTTACTCAGGGAGGGTGTGTGTATAGAGAAAGAGCTCCGGGGTTCATTTTGTTTTCGGTCAAGTCATCTGGCTGCCTTTGGCCCCAGTTCGCCTCCGTTCCCTCACGCCCTGTTCTGCCCACGGCCCGGACTTGCCTCGGATTTCATCGGAGAAGCCGGTACCATCTGCAGAGGAACTTCTGAGGGGAAAGGCTGTTCTTCCCCTCACTTCCTCCTTCTCCGTGCCGGCGGCAGCTTGCACCCCTTGACAAGGAGAGGGAGTTCCAGCCAGAGCCTTTGACACCGTGAGTCCACAGGAGGAATCGCCCCCTCGCCCGCCCGGCTCCTCCCTCGCGCCAGAGCCCAACAGCGCCCCCTGCCGGCCACAGAGAGCAACTGCAGCCCCCGCCCTCCGGAGGTCCAACAGCGCCCCCTGCTGGTCGTGGTTAGAATTGCGCCGAAAGGCGAAAAGTCCTGAACTTTGGTGGTTTTGGTGGTAATTTGTGTGCAGGATTATCGTGGGTTTTTTCTTTTGTTGTGTTACCTATACATATATATTCTTTAATAAAGGGCTGTTATTTTTTCTTTCTCCACATTTTCTCGCCTGGAGCCTCTTAATTTCGGATTTACAATTGCTTAGAGGGAGGAGCTTAGTCTTCCTCATAACTCGCCCTCCTCAGCAAACACTTCTGTCTCGTTAAACCGAGACAACAGTCTTGCAGGCTGCTAAGGTATTTTTTCTGGAATGGGGAACTTGGTCAGGTTTCTCTTTTTGCCAGAGACGGAGAATGGTAAATGTTATATAGAATCATGGAATCATTGAATGGTTTGGGTTGGAAGGGACCTTAAAGATTATCTAGTTCCAATCCCCTTGCCATAGGCAGGGACACCTTTCACTAAACCAGGTTGCTCAGAGCTCCATTCACCTTGGCCGTGAACACTTCCAGGGATGAGGCATCCACAAGTTCTCTGGGCAACCTGTTCCAGTGCCTCACCACTGTCACAGTAAAGAATTTTTTCCCTAATATCTAATGTAAATCTACTCTCTTTCAGTGCCTTTTTAAAGCTGCGTGGGTAGCTTTCCTTTCTTCAGCTGAGGGTGAGGAAGGAACTGAAGAGTACATGGGCTCCCTGAACCATTGCCCTCTTGCAATCCTTTATGCAGAGGGCAAGCAAAGAAAGAAATGGTTGCAGTGGAAAAATAAGCCTTTCCAACAGCAAGGCGAGCTGTTCCTTGTGAACATGTAGAGCCAACAGTATGCAGTAACAGTCAGCCTGTAAATAACCTGCTCCACCAAGCATCTGCAATTTGATATGCAAAAGTGGAAAAGACACTCTGCCTTGTGACCACAAAAGGATTGTGTCTTTCCCTATACCTATTCAGATGCAGAGGAACAAACTTCCTCGAGGTACAAAAGGAAAATTACCTGAAACATTTGGCTACATCACTGAATGGTGTTCTGATGAGAAAGGTGGATGGTATGGTGACTTAATGGGAATATGACAACTACACATATCCCCCTCAAAAAAAGCAGCTGGAGTACCAATCCAGTTTGGCATCTTCTGTTTTTTCTTCAAAAGGTATCCTCATTCCCATGACGGAGCATGACATATTTTTCCCATAATTGTTATTGCTTACATTTTTATATACAAAAAGAACAGATGTTTTTTTAAAAAGCTTTTCAGACCTAAAAAAACCACTGGTTAGGATTTTCCAAAATATTAAAAACGTAAAAGTACTTTCAAAGTATTTCCTTCTAATATTAGGGAACTTCCCCGGCAGAAAACAGTTACGTACAGACAGTGCAGCATGTTCTCCATCCACACATTGGAGAGGTTTTACACTCAAAAGAGCTTTCGCTCCACAAGAGGCAAAAAGTGTGCTTCTGAAAAGGTTTTCGTGAGCTATGGCAAATGTAATTTAAGCAAACATTTTTATTATTCGTGGCAAATAACTTTCTGTAAGCAAAATTATCACTACTGTTACTTTAGTCATGTATCCCATTTCCACTAGAGTCTTGTTCACATTAAGTCAAATTAACACAACATTTATTTCCTGTGCAGTACCCCATTGGCTGTATTCCATGATTACACTAAATTTTTGTTTGGTATTGACTTCTAATAGAAGCTCTGGGGGAAAATGCTATAAAATATTGGCAAATCAAGTGTTAATTCTGTATTTTTACACTTAAAATTGATTTTTATTTTTCCAGTCCCAGAATGCAGGCACAAAAAGAGGTAATGCATTAGCCTTGCCCATCTTGCTGGACATAACAGCAAAGGAGCAGAGCAAAGAACAAACGTGTCTCAGGCTGAGGGTGGATCTCTCAACTTTTGCGTAAAGAGAAGCAGAAGAAAAGGGAGAAATGGAGAGACTTCCATTCCTTGAAATTCCCAGGCAAGCTAAGAGAAGCACCATATACAAGCTTGTAACACTCAACCCACAACAATAGATACAAAAGGAACTTCAGCCAACTTGCATCTGTACTTAATAAGATAAATCAATGTCATTTTTTATCAGACAGCATCACAAATTGGAAAAAATAAAAGCACTACTTAATTTTAAGCAAAACCTTTATTTTAGTTCGTAGGCTTGTTTGCATTAAAACCAGTTACTTCAGAATCAAATTCACATAAAACTCAGCATGTATATAAGCTGAAGTTATCATTGATTCTTCGGATGAAGTTATACATTGCTCAAATATAAGGACTCTGAATGGTATTTTAACGACCTTGTGGGGCAACAGATTAAACTGGGACAGCAGTAGCATCTCCTAGTATACAGGCTAAGGAATTAAATTGTCCCATTCCCCTTCAGTACATTTTAAAACACCAGCTGCAAACCAGTGCAGATAGGAATCCCGTGTCTAACACGAACAAGGGGGAAAAAACAGCTCTTCCCACACTGGTGTTTTCCTTTTCTTCTGAAAGATGTGCATGCACTTCAACATTAGTTTTCAAAAACTTACTGAGCACATTCCCATCTGGCTGCTGGCATGACAGGGATTTACACATGTGTGTAACTTGAGTTACATGGTGGCTAAATTGAATGTCTGTGGAGGAAAATTAAGGGAGAACTTAGACTTATTTCACAGGTGACTGACCATCTATCACCCAGACTGATCTGCTTTCACCTGCTCATTTCATTCTTTTGCAATAGAGGTGGGTTCACTCAGTGATAGTTGCTTGTAAATAGCTCTTTTGGGTTTTGAGATAGCAAGATGAAAGTCATTTTACTTTGTTTTTGTTGTTAATCATGATGCAAGAGGTACAAGTGTTTTATCTTTGCTCTTTATTGCTTGGGGCTTTCATTACTGTTTCACCTTTCCCTAATGATACAAATCTCTTCCATGGCAAGGGTTGTTTCTATTGTCTGTACTAAGTGGAGGCTCTTATTTTCACCATTATGCTCTAAGGAGAGTGAGCTGGTGATGGCAGTGTAGAGTCTATCTTGGTGAAGGATGGTTGGCTGGATTAGGGGTTAGGAATTTGAGAATAGGCTCCTCTATGTGAGTTTGGGGCACCCAAATTTACAGTTTTAAGAGTTCGTGCTTGTAGTTCTCAGTGAGATACTCTGGTAAAGTGGTTAGATTTAGGGCTAGGCATAGTGGGATATGTAATCCCAGTGTGTGTCGTATCTTTCATGGGGTTTAATTAATCTAAGACTGTCTTGATGGAGGCTTTCAGTTCATCTTAGGCCTTAATGGCAAACTTGTGAATATCACAAAGAGTACATGCCACGTGAGAGGTTTTTTTCTGTCTAATGGCAACACAGCCCAGGAAAATCCAGATAAAATGTTGCTTGTAACTCAAATGTGCCCAATGAGCTCATAAAGCTCAGTGTTGAAGTGTTGCTATGTTGGTGTAGGAGTATTTTAAATGACAATGCATTTTTCCTGGAAGAGAGAATCTGTTTGCTCTTAGTTCATGAGCTAATCTGGGGAGAAGTTAATAATTTTATGAACTTATCCTGGACCTCAAAGCCTGAGTCTAAATTAGTCCTACAGGAAATTCATGACAGATAAAAG